CCCCCTCGTCCGGGAAGGGCCAAGGCTGGCCCACAGCCCGGACTCCCGTGAGAACACGTTAACACGGCCTCCTTGAGCGCCCGTTGGGGACTGCCGCTCAAGGCGATGGTCATTGACAGGAGCCAGGGAAGATGGCCCGATTTTGACCACCCGGAGGGCTCTTCGCCTCGCCGTTTGCCTGCTGCTCGCAGCCGGCCGCACCCGACTGCACAGAGCCCACAGGCAGCTTTCCTTTTCCGTGGGCGGGGTTGCAGGGCACCACAGTCACCAAGCTCCAGGACAACTGAACTGGGGTCCACAGGCCGCCCTCAGAGTCGTGATTGCCTAGAAGGTCTCCCAGAACTCGAAGCTGTTACACTCGTGGCTGGGGCTCGCTGCAGTGGTACCGGGAGCATCAGCCAACGCAAAAGGTACAGAGGCCAGGCGAGACCGGGTGGAAGCTTCTAGCTTCCCTTCACAGCGGAGTCAGACGGGCAGAGCTCGGTTCTCCCAGCAGTGACGGGTGACAACACTCGTGAGCTCTGCCAGCTGCGGACGCTCACCTGAGCCCAGGTGAGTGAGGTTTTATTAACGGCTTCCGTCGGGTAAGCTCGGAGCCCCGGTGCCGAGGCTTAGTGCGCAGACTTCCGCGCCTCTGGAGGTCCCGAGGATGCATGCGGTGCAGCCCTGGGCGCGGCCCGCGGTGGTGCTGTTAGCATTAACTAAGTGCAGGGGCACAAGGCTTCAGGTCAAGCAAGACATTCGGAAGGCTCAGAAGTGATTTCCTAGTAGCTGGCGGAGTGCCAGTCCTTTCTCTGGCCCGTGCAGCGTGGGAGTGTCATGGGGCCTGTTTGCTGCCCTCTTACTGTTATTACTGCACAACAAACCAAGGACAATCGCGGGAAATCCATACGTGCACCAGGACGATCTATTTGAATAAAGTGAACTGTCTTCAAGGAAAACCGAGAGATTACATGGAACAGTAGACAACTTGGAGGAGCCTAGCTGCTATCCTCAGAAAGCTCCTCGAGGGTGTTTGTAAACACGAAACAAGAATTGCCCAGGAAAAGAGCGATCAGAGAACAAGAAAGGGTTGAAGATGCTGCTCAGAGAAATCGTTTGAGGCAAGGGCTGAATGGTAAAATGGATGTAGCTAAAGGATGAACTGGCACATTGGAAGATAAAGTAGAGAAACGTGTTCAGAACTTAGAGCAAAAATTTACAAAGATTGCATGAAAGAAAATAGTGCCGACAGGGAGGGACGCACGAGGTTGGTTCCACACTGACAGTCCTCTAAGATGGGTGACAGACATAAGTGTTTCCTGTTCTCCTCTAATCTGTGTATACTTAAATTTTTCCATAGCAAAATGTGTTTTAAGTAAAATAAAATCAAGGGTTGAGAACAAAGGCGAAGCAGGGCTCTGGATGGGCTGGCAAGTCAGCAGACCGTCAGCCAGGCCGTGTGTTCCCAGCAGTGTGAACTGGCCTAGCTTGGAAGGCTGAAGGGGGAGCAGTCTCTCCTCCGCTCTGTACGGTCCTAACACAAGCTCAGCAGAAACAAGGGATGGAGTGAGCCCACACGGAGGAAGAGGAATGTGACATCCCTTCTGAGTCAAATGCTTTGCTGGGTGACCTCATCCACTTGGGCTACTATCACAAAATACCATAAAGTGGTTGGATGGCTTACAGATAAGAAGCATTTTTTTCTCATGCTTCCTGGTCTGGAAGTCTGAAGTCAAGGTGTCTGGTGAGCCTGCTTCCTGGTTCACAGCTGCTGCCTCCTCACTGTGCCCTCACATGGCAGAAGGGGTGAAGGAGCTTTCTGGGTCTCGGTTACGAGGGCACTGATCCCACTCAGGATTCCACTCTCCTGAGCGCATCACCTCCCAAAGGCCCCATCTCTGAACACAACACCCTGGGCTTCAACATACAGATTTCAACATATGAACTTGTGGAGGGGTGGGGGGCACACATACTCTGACCACAGCACAAGGCTGTGCATTATCTTGTTTCTTTACTTCAGGGAGAGAGAGTGAGAGAGATTGGGGAAGGAGTAGAGGGAGAGAGGGTCTGTACTGAGGGCAGAGCCCAATGCAGAGCTCAATTCCATGACCTCAAGATCATGACCTGAACTGAAATCAAGACTGCTCAACCGACTGAGCCACCCAGGTGCCCTCTTTTTTTTAAGATTTTATTTATTTATTTATTTGAGCATGAGAGTAAGTGGGGGGAGGGGCTGAGGGAAAGGGAGAGAGAGAGAATCTCAAGCAAGTTCCATGCTCAGCATGAAGCCTGACCCAGGGCACAATCCTACAACCCTGAGATCATGACCTGAGCCAAAATCAAGAGTTGGACACCTAACTGACTGAGCCACCCAGGTGCCCCAGGGCTAGGAGTCTTAAGAATGAAATACAGGGAGGGGCACCTGGGAGGCTCAGTCGCTGGGCGTCTGCCTTCGGCTCAGGTCATGATCTCAGGGTCCTGGGATCAAGCCCCGCATCATGCTCCCTGCTCCGCAGGAAGCCTGCTTCTCCCTCTCCCACTCCCCCTGCTTGTGTTCCCTCTCTCACTGTCTCTCTCTCTGTCAAAAAATAAAATCTTAAAAAAAAAAATGAAATACAGGGATATTTTACATTGACACAAGTTACAAGCCACTGAAGATTATGCCAGCAACAGAGCTTTGAAATAAAGCAAAAAAAAAAAAAAAGTTCTAAATAAATTCACATTTTTCTCAGAAATCAAGAGATCTGGTAGATGGAAAAAGCAGTAACACCAAGAGTATTCACTGAACATGATTTTGACGTAAATCAAGTATATGGGGCTGCTCAGAGATCCACCATGCCCCCCAGGGGTAATGAGCCCTTTGGAGGGGGAGCTGCCTGTAGGCTAGGTTGACTGGGGCATCAGAAAGGATGGGTACTTCTTGAGAAATGTATAAAACTTAGGAATCAGGAAAAGTGTCCTGCATCCCTCCTCCCCCCAGTGCCCAGGCTGCTCAGCTCTGCTTTCTTGGCCACACAGCTCCATGGAGGTAAGGCCGGCGCAGGGCAGTGGCCGTCCAGGTGTTCCACCTCCTTGAATAATGGGTCCCTTCTCACTCTCCGGGCATCTTGGCCCCACCTTAGGCCCTTCTGAGCTCCAGGGTGAAAACAAACAGCTGAGGGAGCAGAGTGGAGTGTGTCCTAGGGTCGACAGTCCCCATCCCCCCCCCACCCCCTGCCTGGTGCACCAGGCACTATGACACAGAGCACAAAGTAGAAATATCTTTGTCACCTGTCGGGCCTCGGGCAAGTCCTTCAACCTTGGGAATCTCACTTCCTCTGCTGTAAGATGGGGATCCTAATAGCCAGGAGGCCGGGGTACGGTTGACACAGGGCCGGCACACAGTAAGTGTGGTGGGGGGAGTGGGTGCTATGATGCTGGGACCAGGGCAGGGGAGGGAAGGTCCTGAGGGTCTTGCCGAAGACATGGAGAAGGCCGAGGACCCTGGGCCCAGGAGCAGTGTGGGAGCCGAGTCTCAAGTGTCAGCCCCACCCTGGGGCAAGGCCAGCACTTGGGCTAAACGGCAATCCTTCTGCTCCTCAGTGTCTGAGGACTCTGTCCCCGGAAGTGGTGGCTGGAGCACACCATGGAGCTGGCCCTTACTGCCATCCTGCTCTCCCTCCTCCCCATGGCCCTCCAGGAGAGCACCCCCGCTCTCCCAGCCAACTTCTCCCTGCCCAATGCCTTTGCCACAAGCCTGGATTCAGGTAGGACAGATACTGGGGTGGGGGGGACAGGCACTGCCGGAGAGAGTGCCTGAGTGTTGGGGGCAGATCAAGAGGCGTGTGTAATGCCTTCCCTGCCCCTTATGCCCTGTGCCCAGGCAGGTCCTCTAAGGAACCCAGAGGTCGGGAGGGAGCTCTCCTTCGGACCCCCCCCAGACCTCCGCACCTTCACCGCCTCCACCGGCCAAGCGCAGATGATGTGGCACGCACTGTGCGGCAGGCAGGAGCATTGGACCAGCGGCTCACAACTCCCCTCTTCCCACTGAGCCTGCAATAACCACCCAGGCCCCCAGCTCCCACTTCCCCCAACTCAGCTGCTGTGCAACGCGCCGCCCCCCCCCCCCCCCCCCCCCCCCCCCCCCCCCCCCGGCTGGGCAAACGCGCCGCCCCCCCCCCCCCGGGCCACCAAGTCCTTTCCTCGAGCGGAAGGTCCTACATCACAAGGAATTCCACCTTGTAGAGCCCGAGGAGGGACCAGGTGCCAACCTGTGAGCCCCAGGGATTAGGAGGGTCGGTCTGCGGGGCCGGGGAGCCAGACGGGACCACGCCTAGCCGGCCCATGGGCTCCCCCTGCAGTGTGCGGACGCCCACGTGTGTCAGGCCGCATCATGTCGGGGCAGGATGCCAAGCTGGGCCAGTGGCCATGGCAGGTCAGCCTGAGGGAGGATGGACAGCACGTGTGTGGGGGTTCCCTGATCGCTGAGGACTGGGTGCTGACTGCAGCCCACTGCTTCGACCAGTGAGTATCTTCCGAGGGCACAGGTGGGAGCAGGGGGTAGCCAGGACCGGCCCTTCACCCCCCCCAACACCCTCCCTTCCCCCATTTAAACCACCAGTCACTTATCCACTCCCATGGGCCACCTCCCAAAAAGTGATTCATTTCCCAGAGACCAAAGGCTCCCCTATGGGGATCTCTTGAGAAGATGAGGCCTCCAGTCCACCGCTCAGCAGCTGGGCAGCAGTGACTGCCTCTCAAGCCTGTTTCACACTCACCAGACAGGGCGGTGGGGTCCATGTAGGGGGGTCTCGAGAAATAAACAGGGTCCTTTTCGTTTCTGGCACATGCTCTGCTTGCAAAGTTGTCCGTCTATAGTGTTAGGACCCTCAAATCAAGATGGCCCCTGGCCCCCACCCATGAGACCCTGGGTCTCCTGACCCCTGGACTCTCCCACCTCCAGGAAGCAGCCCCTGTCTGCCTACGTCGTGCTGCTGGGCTCCCTCTCCTCCTACCCCCAGGCTGGGGAGCCCCAGGAGCTCCAAGCTGTGGCCCAGTTCATCACCCACCCAGAGTACTCGGCGGAGAGCAACAGAGGGGACATCGCCCTGGTTCAGCTGGCCTCCCCTGTCACCTTCAGTGACCTCATCCTTCCAGTCTGCCTCCCCAAACCCGGAGACCCCCTGGGTCAAGGCACCTGGTGCTGGGTCACCGGCTGGGGGAACGTCGACTTGAATCAACGTAAGGACACCCATGCGGGGGGGGGAGGGGGAAGGGGAGGGGGCAGGTGGGGACCAGGGCTGTTAGGGCCTCCCTAGGGCCCTCTCTCCTCCGGCACCTGCCACCACACTCATAAAGGGTGGATGTGAAGCCTGCACACACTGGTGAGGGCACAGCAGAGGGGAGCCACAGAAATACTGCCACCCCAGACCCTTGCTCGGGCTCCCCTCTCTGCCCTCCCAGCATGCAGTACCCCAAGGAGGAACGCTAGCCCCACCTGAGGGCTCTGGAATGCTGGCCCAGCCTGGGGCCCAGACCCTTCTGACGCGCCAGTGCTGGCGGCCCTTATCTGGCTGGAGGATTCGCCACACGTCACCCCTGCCCTCGTGGCACAGGAGCCAGGGCCTGACTGCCTGGCCTCCATGCGGGCTGGGTGACCCCCACCGGCCTCGCTGGGCTGTGGCTTCCCCCTGTGACAAGCAGAGACTCCAGTGCTAACCTTGTGCGGAGGATGAGGCATTGCAGCCTCTTCCCACAGGGCGGGGCAGGAGTGAGGTCTGGGAACACAGGGCGGCCGCCAGTTGTCACCGTCAGCACGACCGCCTGGCATCGGGGGCCCCGGGCCGCCACGACAAACAGGCACAGGCCTGGGGGCTTCAAACCGCAGAAATGTAGGCTCTCACAGTTGAGGACGGTACGAGTCTGAAGTCGAGGTGTTGGCCGGGCCAGGATCCTCCCTGCTCCTTCAAGCGTCAGGTGGCACCTGGTAGCAGTCCCTCGGCTGGTGGCTGCGAGCCCCAGCCTGCCCCCATCTTCACACGGCCTCTCCCCCTTGTGTCTCTGTGTGTCCCCGCCACCCCCCACCCCCGGGCCTGGGAGGGCAGCCACGCCCAAGGGGAGCTCCACATCTCCGCGCATGCCCTGCCAGACGGAGGAAGGGGGCAGCTCTTCCTCGGGTTTTTCAACACAGGCTCACCTTACCCCCCCCCGCCCCCCGGCCCACCCCACCCCGCCCCGGGCTCAACGCAGGCCCTGGATCCTCAGATCCTCAAGAAGCCGAGGAGTGGCATGCAGAAATGACAAGGAACGGCTTCTTGTCAGCAGTCCGGCTGAGCGCGGAAGCGCAGGGACGGGCGGGCGGAGGGCCAGCAGGTGGCCGCCTGCCTTCTGAGCACTGCTCTGCTCCCCACCCCAGCACTGCCCCCGCCCTTCACCCTGAAGGAGCTGCAGCTGCCCCTCATTGACGCCCAGACCTGTGACGCCTACTACCACGAGAACTCGAACGTGCCCATCGAGCTGCCCATCATCCTCGAGGATATGCTCTGTGCTGGCTTCGAGAGTGGCCAGAAAGATGCCTGCGGGGTGAGCAAGCAATCCCAGTGGGGGGTGGAAGCGGAATCTCCCACTCCCCAGCACCCCGCCCCCCCCCTAGGGTGGAGGAGGGCAACGTTGCTTTAAATACCAGTCAATTCAAATAGAAAAGCATGTTCTCGCACCCTGCCTCCCTTTAAATGTATCATATCAATATCAGAATGTGAAAAACTTCAAAAGTGCTTAAGCAAACTGTGACCATATCCCCATCCCTAAAGCTTTTCTTTGGGGGCCAGAAATGTCTTTTTTTTCTTTCCCAAAAAGAAAGGGCCTCTGAGCAGATTGTCCTGAGGAGCTGGTCACTTCTGGGCTGGGTTGGTGTCTTCTTTCCTTGTCTGCTTTTACAAACAAAACACGCTTTATCTCACGTGCCCTCTTAGTATTGTTTTATCACAGACTTTTTCATCCAAAATGAAGCAAACAGCATTATTAGCAACACAGAAATGCCCCCCTGAGCCCCTACTCTGACACGCACGGTTGTATTTAGAGAACACAGCATTCCCCTAGCACTGCTTCTCCCATCTGCCAGAGATTTTGCCCCGAATTTCCAGACCTCCATTGCCTTCCAGAAACATCCAACCCACCGATCCTCCATCCACTAGACCTAGCTAGCCGTGTTGAAGGGAGGTTGGTGGGCCTGGGGAGACCCCTGGGAACTTCCTTTCCCCTCGTGGGCCCTACGCTTCCAGACTCCTCCCTTCTCCCTAGGGTGACTCCGGGGGCCCGCTGGTTTGCAACCTTGGTGGAGTCTGGACCCAGGCAGGCATCGTGAGCTGGGGGTCTGCCTGCGGCCTCCCCAAAAAGCCGGGAGTCTACATCAATGTCAGCATGTACACCACGTGGATTGCCAGCACCATCCAGAGCTCCGAGCTAGACATGGAAAACTCCTCTCCACACCTTGCTGGGCTCTTTGTCCCCACCATGCTGTTGGTTCTGGGGCTGCTGGGGGACACGCTTGCGTCCCTGGGGCTTGCCTAACCAGGCGGACAGCCCTGCGGACTCGGCCTCTGCAATGTAAACTGAGGCCTTTTCTCTGCTGTCAGCGTCTGGCAGGAGACCCCTGCCCAACCCCCCCCCCCCCATGGCTGCCTTCCACCACTCTCCCCAGCCTCCACCCTCCGGGACCTTCTCTGGTCCCTCCCCTCCCCCCACCTCCCCCACTTCAGACCCCACGGCCTTCGGCCCAGCCCCACCTTTCTCGTGTCCCCCATAGGCCTTAAGCTGCCCTCACCTTCCCTGCCAGCCTGGGAACCCCTGGGGACAGAGCCTGGTTGTCCTGCTCCTCACCCATCATCCAAGTCTGAGTCCCAGGGTGCACGCATGTTCGGGGATTCCTCCGGGGGCTTGGGGGACTCTTGGAACTGGGGTTTCCAGACCCCTGTGCTGGGCTGGTGCCTTTGCAGTCCTGTTTTATCTGAGAGGCAATAAACACAAGCTGGCTGGCGGAAGGACATTCCTCTCTGTGCCTCCAGGCCCCAGAGAGGGTCTGGGAAGACATCTCCCATTTGCGGGAGCTTTCTCCCCAAGGTGCCCCTGGATGCTCACAGCAGCCCTGAGAGGCGCACAGTACTATTATTTCCAGTTTTTCAGACAGGGAAACTGAAGCCGAGGGTGTCAAGCTCTAGGGCTTGCCGAGCCCACTCGCTCCGGCAGCCCTGTCCCTAGGTTCAGTGGGTGGCAGAGCAACACATCTTGGGGTCAGGGCAGGGCTGGGGGCGAATCCATCCACCCCAGGCGTGAGCCTCAAAGGCTCCGAGCCAGGCTATGCTTGCTGTCCCCCTCGCTCCCTCTTTCCCCAGCCTGACTGTCCAGGGGAGCCTGGGACCCACTGGAGATGTGTGAGCCGGCAGCAGCAGCGGGGGGACAGGGCACAGGGCTGGGACCTCGGGCAGGGGCGGGGCGGGGGGGTTGTTTACATCCGGGGCAGGAGATGGGAGGAGAGGAGTGCAGGCTGAGCCCGTTCTGGTGGGAGCCTCAACCTCCATTCTGGGACAGCGCCCACCCTGGCCCATGCCTGGCTCTCCTGCCCGCAGGTGAGCTGAGTGGTCACACCCTTCAGTGGCCCCCCCCCGCTCCCCCCCCCGGCAGCATGCCAAGAACCCTTCACCCTCGGCAGCCCCCACCTACCCCTCCAGCGCTTTCTGCACAGCGTCCCCTGTCCCTGCTGCAGAGCCCATCAGAACCCCGCACCCCTCTCCAGAGCCCTCTGTGGATGCACAGGGCCTGCGTGTCCCTGTCAGGGCTGTCTCCTGATGGCCAGAGAGCCAGCCCTGGGCCTCTCCGGGACGGGGAGCAGCTGTGCACGTAGGATGGGGGGCTGTGGTGAAGGACGGCCTGAGCCCCGAGCCCCGGGTGTTAGAGCAGGCCCCCTGCACTGCCCGCCTGAGGGCAGGGGAGAGGAGCCTGAGCCAGATCATCTGGCGCCCACAGCTTTGGGCTGACCATCAGGGTCATGGCTGCCATCACCACAGCCCCGAGGCCCCAGACGCTACCCGTATCCAACACGTGCCAGCCGGGCACACCAGGGAGGAGTGCGAGCCCCTCGTGCAGGTGCAACCACAGCTGCTGCTCATCTTCTCCGGGTGCTTCCCTTACGGGCACCTCGGGGGGGTAGCAGCAAGTGTGGCAGCATGCATGGGGGAGGGAGAGGAGGATGTGCTGCCCCCTCGCCTACCCGGAGGGGTCTCCGGGACCTCCCTGAGCCTTGCACACCCTGCCTCGCGATCCCCAAGGAGCATGGAGGGGACACCTGATGAAGCGCATGGTCAGGGCCACGCCCGGACCACTGATGACCCCCCCCCCCCCGGTGCTCCTCCATGCCACTCCTCCCAGGCCAGGAGACCTGGAAGCCCTCTCCGGCGGCAACAACAGGGACCTGGCGAGCCAGAGCCCCTCCTGGGAGACGCTCTGCCAATCCGCATCCCTCCTTTTCTACCTGTTCTCCTTCCACCCCTCCCTTCCTTGGCTCTCCGTCAACTCTTCAGTTCCACATACACCTAGCCTGTCACACATGGGCCCTGGAGGCCAACAGCCAGATGCACACGTGCCCAAATGTCATTTTGCATATTGCTAACTTCTAGGAAGAAAATACAGGGAGACAGTGAGACAGTCAGGGGGGCGGGAGGGGGGCGTGGAGCTCGCTGCAGATGGGAAGGGAGCAGAGAAAGCTTGGCTGAGGGGTGACTTTAACACCAAGATCTGAACACCACCAAGAAGTCTGCCATGTGACCATCCGGGAAAGGAGTCTGCGGGGACAGGCCACCCCAGGCTGGAGCAAGCTTGGAGTTCACTAGGAAAAGACAGCTGGGGAGGGGACAGGATTTGGGGGGAGGTGGTCAGAGGGGCTGTTGAGGGCTGGGGGGGGCTCGGACCTGCGGCTGGAGCGATCCTCCGGGCTCTCTGTGCAGCACCAGCAGGGTGTTGGGGGCACCCAACTTGGGCAATGTGCCACACTGGGCCCCAGCCGCAGGGAGCTCACAGGAGACTGGCCAGTTACGAGTGCTGTGGTGCCAAAGGCCACAGAGGGGGAGGACGTTAGCGAAAATCTTGCTCCCTTGCCGTGCCTGGGGACCCAGGCCCTACCCAGCCATGTCCTCCCACAGGGACCTGTCTGTCCCTGAGTCCACCTGGCTGAGCCCATGCCCACCGCCCCTCACTCTGCAGGTGACTTGGTGGGGGCCACACCAGTGTGCAAAGTCAACGGGGTGAGGTGACAGGCCAGCTTCAATCCCTGGAGAAGGTTCCGAGGTCACCCAGCACCCAGAGTCTCTCACTAGCGACGCCCTCGATGTGCCTGGCCAAGGGCACCACATGGAGCTCTCCTCCCGGTCCTCCAGGGAGGGGTGCTGGCTCTGCCTGCTCCTGTCTCCAGCGCCTGACCTCTTGGCCACTCACCACCAGGCCCAGCTGAACTTGGACTAGGCCCAAGACCCAGGGCTCCCACAGAGTGGACACCTAGGGACACCCCTGCCTATCCAGACTGGCCCCCCTGCCTGGAGGGACCCCAGAAGCCAATGCTGGCAAACTCATGACTTTGTGAATCCCACCAAATTCCTGGCAGTGCTCAGGACACAGACAGGGGCACCAACAAGGCACAGCCCTTCCAGAAACCCCATCGAGAGCATCTCTGGTCACAGGGACGCTGGGATGGATAACCTCATGACGTCTCTCATTTAGGCCATTTTTCCCCCCAAGGACCCCAGGCAAGAAAGAAAGTTTGCAAAAGGCAGTTTCAACCTCCAAAATTTAAATTGGAGGAGGATGAGGAGGCCTGGGGCCTGCCACCAGGGGACAGCCTGGGTTGGCAGCGACTAGCCTGGCTGTGGGCTCAGGGAGGGACGAGACCCGAGACCATCATTTCCTCAAGAAAAGAAGAAAGGGATCTTCTTTTCTTGGCTCAGCCCGATCCTGCCAGGCCCCCGACGGGCGCTCAAGGAGGCCGTGTTAACGTGTTCTCACGGGAGTCCGGGCTGTGGGCCAGCCTTGGCCCTTCCCGGACGAGGGGGTGCGTGGAGGAACGGGGGGCAATGGGGGCAACGGGGCGGGGGCGGCGGGGACGGCCAGGACCCCAGGGTCGCCGACAAGCAGGACCGTGTGGGCGCACGGTGGGGTTGGGGGACCCCGCCCCCGCCCCAGTCGAAGCTCCAAGCCGGCGGCGCCGTGAGGTCCGACGTTCCCCGACGACGGGACCCTCCCCCCGCCCCACCGCACCCGGAGAGGTCCAGCCCGGGGTGGGGGGGGAGCGGGGGGGGGGAATGTGTGGGCCGGCGTGGCGGGCGCTCCCTCTCCCCCAGGGGGCGCCCCGACCGGGCACCCGAGCGGGCGGAAGCAGAGGGGGCGCCAAGCTGCGGGAGACGAGGCCATGGGCGCGCGCGTCGGGGCGCTGCTGCTGGCGCAGCTGCTGGTGCGAGTGGAGCTCGGGAGGCAGGGTGAGCTCAGGCGGGGGCCGCCGGCCGGCGTCGGGCTGCTGGGGGGGCGGCTGGGGCGCGCGCAGACCGGGCGGAGCTCACCCGCCCGCCCGCCCCCCAGAGTTTCAGGATCAGGACCAGCTGTTTGCAGGTAAGGCGCCCAGGACGCGCGCTTCCCCCCGCGGGGCCCCTGAGCCGCAGCGCAGAGGGCGCCTCATCTTCTCCTCTCCTCCGCCCAGGTTTCGAGAACTCGTCGTTGCTCACGTGTAACTGCCGGGCCCCTGGGGGGAGGGGCGGGCGCCCGCGGACCACGTGGGGAGGGTCCCGGGGTCCCCTGGTCCCCCTGCGGCGCGACCCCCGACGCGCGCCCTTCCCGGTTCCCGAAGGGGAGCCCCTTCCCTTCGCGCAGGAGGGCGGGGTCCTGCCGCTTAGCCGCGTGTCCGTCTGTCCGTCCCAGGGCCCTGCGGCCGCCACAAAATCGAGCCGCGCGTGGTGGGCGGAAAGGACTCGGAGCTGGGGCGCTGGGCGTGGCAGGGCAGCCTGCGCAGGGGTAAACGCCACCGCTGCGGAGCGAGCCTGCTGAACCGCCGCTGGGTGCTCACGGCCGCGCACTGCTTCGAAAAGTGAGTCTGGGGGCGAGCGGCCCCCACACCAGGGGACGGGGTGGGAGGAAGGGGGTTGGGGGGGTGTCGGGTCCTGCGCGCCCTCCGGGTGCGGATGCAGCCCTCGTGTTTTCCCGAGCCCCACGCCCGGCTGCAGCCACGTGAGGAAAACCTTGTTCCCTTTCTTCCAGAACATTCCTCAGAACTTTCGCGCGCACTTTTGTGTCGTGTTCTTTTCTGTCTTCTTTTCTCCCCAAATGGCAGCACCAGGCGTCTCCTTCCTCATCCCACAGCCAGGTGGAGGCGTACTCTAGGGGGTGGAAGGAGGTGGGGAAGTGCTGGGCACAGAGCCTGGCCTGTGGCGAAGGTGGTGGTGGAGTTTTCCACCTGCTCTGGTCCTGTGCATCTGTTCATTTTTTTTTAGGACAGCTGTGGGAGGTGACAGGCTGGCGGAGTGACCGGCCAGATC